GTTGCTGAAAAGTGGAGCTCAATTGAATGGGAAGGAATTCACCGGAAAATATCAACAAGATGGAGTATGTTGCTGAAAGTTACTTTCAGCAACAATAAGTATATTGCTGAAAGTGAAGCAGAATTTCAAGGGCTAAGATGTACATTTTTGTACTGTAGCACTTTCAGCAACATGGGGTTTGTTGCTGATACTTATTTTCAGCAACAAACAATCTCATGATGCTGATTTATTGTTGGTAAAAAACAAAATTTTAGTAGTGTTCTTTACGCTACAAATTTTCTGTTTTTAAGGATTTCTGTTGGTTAAATGTAGGATGATGGGTGAGAATGTGTTGTTGACCTTCAGGCATAATTAAAGGTCCTTTAATATTTTGGTCAATGGAGAGGCCAAGTAAATTACCTCCATTAGTCTGGAATATTATTCAATATTCAGGGAAAGGATGGTTGCTTGTATAACTTTTGTGATTAGCGTATCAGGTGAATAGAGCTTTTTAAAAGTTGTGATTCCTTTGGTAAGGAAGCTGATGCAAACTGATTTTTTAAGATCTTTGTAGACTTTTGTATCATGTAAATGGTCTGCTAGTGCTAGAATTTTTCTTCCATATCCCTGGTTGTGGTTTCTTTAGGCCTTTTTTTATTGATGCTTATCTCTTCTTTGATATTGTGTATTGTGCAGGTCTTTCAGCCCTGGATCCAGAGAAGACGAATTGCCTATGCAAAGCTCAAGCATGTGATGTCAGGAATCCTAAAGCACCTGAAACAGCGTGCTCTAGGAAGGCTCCTGACTGATGAAGGAGAACCTAATGAGGATGTCATAAAAAAGTTAGTTTTGCAGCTTGACATTGAAGAGAATGCAATTTCTATCTTTAACATTTCTTCTTCGTACAGCTTAATCAAGTACTCGTAGCTAATTTCCTATCTGGCTCTATGACAGGTTGTTTCATACAATTGATGAGAATCATGATGACCATCTTTCGGCTGGTGAATTAAGAGCACTTATTGTAGGAATCCGGTTTGAGGAGATAGACTTGGATAAGGATGATGCTGTTAATAAAGTTATGAAAGATTTTGATACTTCCAATGATCAGCGCATTAGTGAGAGAGAGTTTGTAGATGGTATCTCGAAGTGGCTTAATGAGGCAAA